ACATGTATTGGGGATCTGTGCAATAAAATAAACGTGACTGCCAAAAAGTCTTTGTTCGAAATATTCGGTACAATAATGAAGATGGGTTAAATTGCTAAGTCATATGTAAAGATACTTCTTCTACTTTCCAAAACTATATTCATCATATTTAGAAAATATTTTAAGGCGTTTCACCTAATACGTAATTTGAAAGTAAATGCTTTAGAGCATAGCATGCAGGGTGAGATAAAAAAAACTCCAACAAAGTCAAACGCCATAATTTGTACATTTTTTTATATGAATTTATATAAAAAACCAGTAAAGAAAGTCTTAAAGTCGGGCGGGGCCGACTTTATGATACCCTACACCACTTTGCTAATTTAGTAGAGCTCCACATAACAATTAAAAGTTTTTATGGTTTAAAGTTCAAAGGACTAAATATGCCGAAGCATTTGTATCTTTTAAATTCGGAGTTGTATTGCCCATTTGGGGCACAATTAATTTGAAATCGGATAAAGATATATATGGGAGCTATATCCAAATCTGAACCGATCTCGATAAATTTTGACAAAGATATTTCTGAGTTGTATTTGATATATTTCCCTGAATATCGTTGTTACGGAGTGCATATTACGGCTGTGGGTAACAAATACAACAAATCGGATGAACAATATATATGGAAGCTATAGCTATATCTGAACCGATCTACACCAAATTACTAGCTTCTAGACTCAATTCGGTCGTAACTGCCAAATTCCATCCCATTTAGACAAATATTAGACGTTTTATTGTGAACCAACAATAAAAGGTAAATCGGACGCAGTTATATATGGGAGCTATATACAAATCTGAACCGATCTCGATAAAATTTAGCAAATGTATTTCTGAGCTGTAATTGATATATTATCCTAAATATCGTTGTTACAGAGCGCATATTACGGCTGCGGAGGACAAAAATAATAAATCGGATGAACAATATATATGGGAGCTATAGCTATATCTGAACCGATTTCGATCAAATTTGGCATTCCTTTTTCAGGCCTAATTTGGGTGTATATGCAAAATTCCATACAATTCGGGCTGATATTACACGTTTGGTGCACAATAAAAGGCAAATCGGACGAAGATATATATGGGAGCTATATCTAAATTTTGACCGATTATCTCCAATTTCAATAGGGTTCGTCCTTTGGCCAAACAAATGATCTGTGCAAAATTTCATCTGGATCGGGCAATAAATGCGACCTGTACTTTGTTTTCAAAAATACATTGACAGACGGACAGACGAACGGACGAACATGCATGAATCGACTCAGAATGTGATTCTATGCAGATCATCAAAAGGAACTATGGGTCTATCTCGTTTCCTTTAGCCTGTTACAAACAAATGCATAAAGACATAATACCCTGACCACATTGTGGTGTAAGGTATAATTAATATATACTGTACAATTCCACAAACATATATATTACATATATATTTATCATATACTATGAATAAATTAATATACAGAGTGAAATGAAAAAATTGCAACCAACTTCAGACTGCTGTAATTTCTAAGCCGCTCGTCCGGCAGCTGTTAAAATTATTCCAGTGACAGCTCATTATATTGTTTACAGTTGTATAAAAACATTTTGGTAAGAATTTTCCAGAAAAAAAAATTGTTCGTGATGGAATTCAAGCGTGATAGTGTGATCTCTTTATATTTGGCTGGAAAACCACAAGTGGCTATCGTTAGAGCACTCCGGCATTTAAATGTGTATAAATCGACGTCAAGGAAGTGGATGGAAGAAAACAGCAACATCAGCAGAAATGGTTTGAAAAATAAAGAAGCGACTTGATCGAAACCCGAATCGCAGTGACCGAAAAATGACTCGTGAGTTGAACATATCGCAATATTCCATTCGGCAAATATTGAAAAATGAGCTCGGGGTAAAACCATTGAAATTCCGAAAAGTGCAAGAACTGACACCGCAACAGAAAGAAAATTGACTCAAAAGAGCTAAAGAGTTGCTTCGCTTGGTGAACTGCCGAATTTGGTTTTCTCCGATAAAAAAACAGTCGTTGTCCAGCAGTTTTTAACAAACAAAATGATCGTGTTTACTTGCCAAAGAGGTCAGCTGAAAATGTGCACCTTCGGTTGGCCACCAGAACTCAAGCGCCGGCCATCGTGATGGTGTGGGTCGCCATAACAGCCGATGGTCGCTCTCCGCTCGTATTAATCGACCGTGGCATCAGAATAAATGCCGAATATTATCGCGTAAATATTCTGGAGGGTGTATTAAAACCTTGGACATGCAAACACTTTTGCCACAGACGTTGGATATTCCAACAGGACTCAGCACCATCGTACTCAGCACGCGCCACCCAAGAATGGTTACAAAATGAGCTTCCTCGCTTTATTTCCAGCGCACAATGGCCACCAAAATCTCCGGATACCAATCCGCTGGACTATTGTATCTGGAGCATTTTGGAGAGCAAGGTTGGCACTAAAAAATAACAAAGTGTCGATCACCTCAAGCAAGCGCTTCGCCGGGAATGGGACAAAATACCACAGAGTAACCTTCGGCAGGGTGTGACGGTTTCATTGGCCGCTTGAAGGACATAATTCGTGCCAAAGGTCACCAATTCCAACAAATCTAATCTTATTCTAAAATTTGATGCTATTTCCGATATTTTTTGCTTTCATTCAATAAAATTAAAAAGAATGTAGAAATTATGGCGTTTGACTTTGTTGCAGTTTTTTAACTCACCCTGTATTACTTTTAAGATTAAAATTTTCTGGAAGTTCCTCAAAGTATGCTATAAAAATGTAAAAAGTACATGAAAAAGTTACTTTACATGCGATTTTAACATAACGTGTAGTCGGACCTTTACACTTGCCGCAAAGCTAGACCACATGTATTCATTTTACTTTGACCTTAACGTATTCCTCGTTACTTCCTGGAAGCCTCCACGAGTGCCGGGTGTCAGTGCCACATTTGTACCATGATATAGATATAAAGAGACTCATCTCCTAAACCAGAACTAGACAGAAATTAAAATGAACCAACAATCCTGGCTTGATGGTGAACACGGACAGATCTAAAAAACGGCGAGAAATACAAGCCATTAAATAGCACCAAGCACTTAACACTTGGCCACCTCTATTTTGATTCGTGACAAGCCATCGAAGTCCTCTAAGCATTAGCCGAAAATTTTTGTGGACGATGTCTACACTGTCCCAGACATTGTCCACCAAACTTTTCGGCTGGATCGAACTGGATCCGATGGCAGCATACATTTAACCATTATCCTAACGACATTGAATAGATGAGGAAGGACTCGAAAAAAAAAACAAAGTCTTGACACAACTACCAACCCCTTACCCCCGAAGTGAAGGAGAATCATGTATCCAAAAACTGCTATGATTTGGTCAAAATAGGTTTGACCGTGCTTCAGAAGCAATACATGGTGCTACAAATTGTCTTTTCATTTTGTAAGAGAATCTGTGGGCAAGGACACACCCCATTAAAGTAGTCTGCAGATTTGATTTAAAATCTTCACAGTTGCCAGAAAGAAATCTTGAGCAATACAATACAATACAACGCTCAGCTGCTAACTACAATAACATTGATTGATTGCTGAGAAGGCCCTAAAACTTGCAAAAATCTCGTGGAAAACAAAATGACCGAGTTCTCTTAACAGCCGGAGACTAAGCCCCCTCTAGGCAAGACTTCAATAGTTAGAAGACTCAGTAGGCAAAGGATTTTTTTCAAGCATAAGTTAATGGCTGGCTTTTTCGTAAAAGAACCAAGGACCAGTTTTTAATTATGGGCTTATTATGGATTAATTTATGCCAACGAAAAAAATACTCTAATGTACTCACACCTTAATTGTTGTTAATACAGTTTCAAAGATTGAATTTAGCCATTACAAGGCCAACAAAGTCGGCTCTTATAAAATGAAGAAATCCAGGGACTTTTGTCATAAGAGTCGGCGGCTTGATTCCAATGATTCCGTCCAATTTTACGGATTTCTAAGGTTTTATCTGATTTTTTCAAATGAAGTGCTTGAGATTCTGGAATGTCACATTGGAGGCCCTATTCATATTTCCCATGAGCTGATGCTTCATTCTGACATTGAAATCATTCATTAATATTGAAGTTCGGGTATAAAAAGTTCGATCAGGACAAGTTTATCGCCGTTTATATTTGTAATAAGCTATGTAGGATTGAATCCAGCTTGATACATATCGAACACCACGGAACTGACCTAACGGTCTTTAAAATTATGAGTTTTTCACGCAAAACAACGAGCGTTATAATAGATCATGAGGACAATGGCGCCCAAATGAAAAGATCTTTATCTTTGTACTTTTTCTCAGCGAAGACGAACAAGAAAGAACAGCTCTGCGAAATCAATGTTTATATTCCATGTATCAGTTTTAGGTGACTACTGAATTTTGAAAATACAAGTTGGCTATCTATTACTTCTAATACTTGCACATAGTAGGACTCTATTATTCTTTCATGATTGATTTCAAGGAAAGACAAATCTGCAGCTTGTCTTACCGTGTCACCTTATTTGGTTAATTTTTTTTTGTTAATTATTTTGATTATGTTCCTGTTTCAAAATTATTAAATAAGTAAAAATTCGACGCAGGAAAGTTATTTTGAAATTCTTTTAAAAATTCCCCTTTCAATATTTTGCCCATCTATGCTTGTAATATTCTCAATCGCTGCTTTCACTCTTTTTCTCTCTCCTTCTTTGTGTATCTCGATTTCAACTCTTCTCAAAATCTCTGCAGCATAGATGTCAAAAACAGTATATATTTCAATAAAAAAATATTATAGTTTCGACAGACAGACGGACATCATTAACCGACTTAAAGTAGCCGATTGTATTAACGATTTTAACTTCATATGTTCCCAAGTTAACGTCGTTAAGATTTAATCTTATATTACTATAGTAATACTTTGTTATATTCACTAATTCTGCATTGTTTTAATTTTCCTCCGTTTATTCTGTTTACTTTCAGTTTCATCAAACAATACGAACGTACCTGAATGATCGTGTTTGGGATTTTAAATTTTATGTATCGAAAGATTGGCCAGAGAAACCCATTATCTTACACTTTCCAGGATGCACGCTAACGGTAAATGGCAGATTGTTTTCTCTATTCTTTCAATGTTAAATACAATTTTATTTTTCCACACAGCCCGAAAACAATATATACCGAAGCTTTGGCATCTTCTGCCCTTCGGAACAGATCGAACATGTCGATCTGATGCGCACCGAAGACATTCTAATCGATTGGTCACTACCACTGTACCTGAATTTTACGCACATCGCCATTATGAATCGCCTGGATGATTTCTATAAGAAAATGGGCATCATGGAGCGGCTGGAGGGCGACATCTATGTGTGCAATAAACTCAATACGGACTTGCAATTGGATGATTTGCCCGACGACGCCGAGATGCGTCCACTCAAAGTGGAGGATGTCGAGCACATACATGATCTCTATCCGGCCAATGAAATCGAATGCGTTGATGTTTTTAATATTTTGGTTCGAGTACTGCCCGGCCTGGGTGTCTTCCGCAAGGATACGAACGAGTTGGCCGCATGGATGGTACATTCATATTATGGCGCTATGTTTTCCATGCAAACACGTCCAAACTATAGAAGATTGGGGTGAGTTTGGGAGATGTTTTGAATTATGTTGCTATCTGAATGGGTTGGCGAGAAATTAAGATCATTTTAAGGATAACTTACAACAATTCTCACGGCTATAAGAGCTGGGTTTTTTAAACTATATCTGAGAGTCATAGGCAGATTTTTTAAGAACATTTTGCTTAGGACATTCAAACGTAAGATTTTAAGACATAGCAATATATTTGGGAGCAAAATATTGGATTTTTATCGGGCTTTTCATTGAGATTTAGGGATAGAATAAATTGATTTAAAAAAAAAATTAGCAGGATTTTCAGAACTATAAGTGTGGGATTTTAAGGAATGTTTTCTGAAGCTTAATATTTTTTCAGAAGCGCCTCTATAGCCTATATATCAGTTAGTTTTTAAGAAAACTTAAGGTCAAAACACGTAAGCAGCTTGGCATCATAACATGGCATATTAATGTAAATCTATGAGGGAAAACGACGGCAGGATTCGAGTGCGACTCTGACATTCCTTTATGACAAAATGTATATCATTACCTTTAAGACTAACAAAGATCAGAGCTTAAATTATGAAAATTGCCAGAGCAACATTGCCGTATTTTCCAGCGGAAATCACGATTTAAGTTTGGCCTCTTTTAGCCTTTAGAGCTATAAGTGTGGAGTGTATAAATATTTTTTTGGGAAAAACTTTCAGAGCTATTATCTTAGAACTTTTACCCACATATTTTAGAAGACTTTCAAGTGAGGTTTTGAAAATTATATTTAAAAGACTTTGACCGATATAAGTGGGAAATATTTCATAATTTTTGGGAAAAACTTCCAGACTTATAAGTGATGGAAAAAATTGAGAGTACTTTTAAATATATAAGCATTGGTGTTTTGAAATCAAATTAATTGCACTATCTGAGCTATAAGAGTAAGTATAAGAGTGGGAGATTGAAGTTATTTGTGTAATGTTATAAAGGTCAAAACATAGTTAAGGCTTCCCTTCATTTTCTAGCTTTGCTAATGTCAAATTATAAAGGAATATCAGAGGCACTCTTGAAATTTAACGCAGTTGCTCTTTATAATTTGGCTTCGGCTTTACTGTGTCAATTTTGAAGAATACTTTGGGGGGACGTTCCGAGACATAAGAATATCCTTGGAAAGACATTCAGAGAAATACTATTTCTTTTTCCAAAATTACTGTTATTAATGAAAACATTGTTCAGCGCGAGATTTAAAAAAAATTGTGAGGTCTTTCAGAGATAATAATATCGAGATATTTAGGAATATTTTTGAGAGGACTTTTAAAGATATAAGCATTGATTTTTTAAAGAACATTCTGAGCTGTAAATGTCCGGTTACTCATTATGTTAGAGTCATATGTAAAGTGACTTTTTCATTCTTAATTGTTTAGATTATAGAATACTTTAAGGAGCTCCAAACAATTTTTAAACTTTAAAGTAACGCTATACTGTACATGTCTACAAAAGCACTTTCATTTTATTTATAATTTATTTAGAGTCTAACCGTATTAATTTATAAAGCGTTTCTCTTTATATTAAAAATTTGTGGAGCGTCTAGAAGTGTGCTGTAAAAATGTTAGAGATAGTTTTGGCAAAAAGTTCCTTTATATACAATTCTGTGTAATCTAGCTTTAAGATTGGGTTTTGAAAGTTATTTTTAAAGTACTGTAAAGGTTGCAATTTAAAATTTATGGGAGGAGAACTTTCAAATATATGTGAGGAAGTTTTATAAAAATAAGCGTGAAATTTTTTTAGATTTTTTTAGGATAGGTTTAGAGGCCTTTTAGAGAATATTTTTAAGAGCTTTTGAAAAAAAAAGAAGTGGGATTAAAAAAATTGCTTTTGAGAAGACTTTTAGATACGCGGGCTAGATTTTTAGGAATATCTTTGAGTGGACTTTAGAAACTTTGGGATTTGTGCGAATGATGCTGAGAGGATTTTTAGAAAAAAAAAATATTAGCCTAACGTTTTAATGAACATTTGAAAAATGCGTTTTAGAAATAAAAATAAGAATTTTTAAGAACAATTTTTTAAGATTTTCGGGGTTAGGTGTTTGATTTTAGGAGTACAATTTTAAACGATTTCCCGAGTCCCAAGAATGGGTTAAAAAATAATTTTTTAGGACATTAACATTCTTCATGAATTTACATGAATTATTTAAAAACAAATTGAAACAAGTTGATTGCATGATTTTTTCTTCTTAATTCTATCATGCCCTACTTGTGCTGAAATTCATGCGCTTATAACGTCTACAACAATTCCCAATTTTTCTAATTCATAAAGTGGGGTTTCCTTTACGAAAAAGACAGCAGGGTCGTTTGCCAGCAAAAATCCTTATTTGCACTCCCAACTTAAGTGCTATATCCTTGAGCAAAAATAAAATCCTAAGAATATAGCATACTTTTAGGATTAACATTAAATAGTTTTCTTTAAACAATTTTTAAACAAGTGTTTTCTTTTTCATCTTTTCAGTTATGGCATTCGTTTGGCTACAGCTTTAACCAAAAAAGTTATTGAACGAGGCTATAAACCATTTGTTGTGATACGTCCACAAAACGATGCTTCTCGTAATCTGTATACTAAGTTAGGTTTTGAAAAAGTCTATGAAACGTGCCGAGTCAAAATGACACCGAATCCTATACACACAAACGGTGGTCCTGAACCCTCAGCTCCCGAACTGGAACCAGAAGCGGAGAATAAACCCATAGATGAAGGCATTGAAGATATGCTGGCTGAAAAGTGTGATATTAAAGCTGCTGATGAAGCTTCGGGCCAAGATAAGAAGGCCACAACAGCCGATGAGGGCATCGGCGAGGATAAGTAAATCTCTAGTTAGGTATTATAACACAAAACTGCAAAACAAAATCACCAAAACAACACAGACACGCTATAACAACACAAATGAAAAACAAATTTTTGAATACTTTAACTAAATAAAAAATTAAAAAAAAAAAAACAAAAAACAATAAATAAAAACCAAAACACACACATACACTCACATACAGAAAGTAAATTTTAAAATAAGGCCGACAAATTTCTATTGCAGAAATACCGGGAAAATAAGCATGTAGTGATGAAAATAGAAAAACAAAATATAAAAATAAATTATTATTATAATATAATTATATATGAAGAAATGACAAGAGAAAGAGGCAACAGGAAAACTATATACAAAACAAATTATTAATAATAAAAAAAGAAAATAAAAACAAAAACAAAAAATGCAACAATGCTCTATTAAGTTTATTATTGAAAAACAAAAAAATGAAGTATTTAACAACAAACAAATCTCTCCCCCTATATACAAAACCAAAAAAAAAAAAACAAAAAGAGAAGGAAGAAAGCAAAACAAAAATAATGCATATAAAAATCTTATTATTAATTAAACCAAGAATATTGAATTAAGTAAACAAAAAACAAAAACTGAAACCACTAACACCCTCAAAAATATTCCCACAATTTTAAAGCGAAAACTACGAAAACAAAATCTTAACGAGGAAACCTCAACTATATATCTTTTATGAATTTTTTTGTTTTTCGCTTTGAAAAAAGTTTACTCACTCCTACTAAAAACACCCAAGCAAACAAATAAAAATGAAAATTGATTTTCTTTGTTTGTTTGTTCTTCCCAATACCAGTTAGGTTTTCTATGAAAATGTAACAAAAACCAAAATCCTAAAACAAAAATGTTGAATTACCACAATTCGAAAATAGTGTTGCAAAAAATTGCATTGACAAATGGGATGCATGAAAAAATCGTTGCTTAAAGTTAAATTGTTGATAAAATGAAGAAGTCCTGTGAAAGGTGGAAGTTAAGACAAAATGGATTGAAAGTGGAATTAAGGATTATCAAATGTATACCCAGAAACTAAAGATGTTAATTTTATTTATTATTTTTTTTTTTTTTTTTGCTGGGACCAAAATGTATTTTCGACGTGGCACGGCGAGGCCTACTGTTATCTTCTTTTGCTGTCAAAATACAACTTTTTGATTAAATATATATAAAAATATTTCTTTTCTGAATATACATGTACAACTTTAAAACGTAAAATTTGTGAGATGTTGTTTTCTTGGAAGAAAACAAAGAAAAGACTAAGGGCTAAATTCGCCTCCTCTGTGGCTTAATTAATAGGACTTGGCTGAGACTATTAGATTTATGTTACAGAAATATTCCCTTATTAGAGCGTAATGATCTATAACATACTTTTAGTTTTTGTGGTTATATAATCCGTCCTTGGTGCCATGAAATAACTTCCAAGTCTTTTTTTGGGACTTGTTAAGAAAAATATTATGTCCAAACATTGAAGATTCAAGATTAGGAAATCGCAATAATACATTCTAAATGCGTGTATAATCGATAAAATCCTTTTTGTTTTATGATTACCTAAAGTCTGTATTTACAAGTTTGGCATGACACGTCCACAAAAACATTAATCATATTCAACGAGTTTATAATTGATCACGCTATGAAGTCTATTTTGAACTTGGAGCCAGAGCTATGGATTTAAACGTATTATACAAGACTTTCAGATCAAATGTGGAGATTTTAAAGAATAAGTAGTGCGACACTGTAACTATGTTGTGAGTTAACGACAAAATATGCTTATGATTTCGGTAATTAACGGAATTTTTCGGCTTGTTAGCGACCAAATTAACTTTAATTTCGACTTTTTTCATTCATAATTCAATTTGTTCTCATTTATGTAAAATTGAAACTATTGCTAAAAATGTAGCATACTTTTAGGAGTAACATAAACTAATTCTCATTATACCACAAGGTGGTCAGGGTCTTTGTCTTTGTGCATTTGTTTGTAACAGGCAAAAGGAAACAATATAGACCCATAGCTCTTTTTGATGATCTGCATAGAATCACATTCTAAGTCGATCTATGCATGTCCGTCCGTCCATCAGTCAATGTATTTTTGTAAACAATGTACATATCGCATTTATTGTCCGATCCAGATGAAATTTTACACAAATAACTGTTTTGGCCCAAGGACGAACCCTATTCAAATTGGAGATAATCGGTCAAAATTTAGATAAAGCTCCCATATATATCTTCGTCCGATTTGCCTTTTATTGTGCTCCAAACGTGTAATATTTGGCCAAATGGAATGGAATTTGTCACTTAGGACCAAATTGAGGCTTGAAATAAGTGTGTTAAATTTGGTGAAAATCGGTATAGATATAGCAATAGCACCCATATATATTATTCATCCGATTTGTTGAATATGTCCTGCACAGTCGTAATATGCATTTTGTAGTAACGATACTCGGGGAAATATGTCAAATGCAGCTCAGAAATACCTTTGCCAAATTTTATCAAGATCGCTTCAGACTTGCATACAGCTTCCATATATATTTTTATCCAAATGGGTAATACAAGCCCGAATTGAAAAGTCACAAATCCTCGGCAAATTTAGTAGAAATCGATTCAAAGCAGGATATTCCTTTCAGAATACGAAACTTTTCATTTGAAAATCAGGATTTGTTGGCGAATATCGGAGTTTCAAAATTTCATTAGCCTTTAATTTTGATAATATTTTGAGATACTCACGAAATTCGTCTAGGGCTTGCAGATGAGGAAAATCTATGGAATGAATTCATGTATTGCAGCAAAACCAATAAAAATTTTACCGATTTCTCCACCAAATTTCGGTGTCGCAGCGAAGTAAATGCTTTTGCGAAATTTATTTTCTTGTAATTTTTCTTCGTAAGCGTTAAGAGAAATACAAAACCCACAACATTCATTGCATTTTTCCGCAATGAAAAATATATGTATTTGTTTTTGAAGTTTTTCCTTTCAAATTATATTATAATAATAGCTCTATTCACGAACCATAAAAATATATTACATATACATTTTTTTTACAAACTTCTTCCCGCGTGATTTGCGACTGGCTCATTCGACACCGTTTAGTGAATGTAATTTATTGTGGGTAATTAGTAGTGAAAAGGATCTTCACCAATGGATTAGCTTAGACAGGAGTTGTTGTTGTTATAACAGCAATACATGCTGCGTGCTGCAGTTCTGCTTATCTGATTTAAAAGCATACTGGTGAATACTCCTCCACCCCATAGCATTAGTACTCCTAGAACACACTGAGCCCTCAGTCCGACGTAATCCATAATAAATGGTCAACGAAAACGTCCCCTTATCTTTGCCTTGGCTTTCAGGATCTTGTTCCTACTTTTCAATTTATCGCAGACAATATGCTGTCGAACGTGTCCCATAGGATCTCGACTTGTGGATATTTTAGTATTTCTTGCTTGGAAAAAAGTGGATAGTTGGTTAACCTAAAGCGTACGTGATCAACGGCAGGAATCCATGCCATTATCATGGAATCATCAGCTATATCTACGCTGTCTGGAATTCCCAGTTTCGGGGATACATATCACTTCCTGTTTTACTCTACGGGTATGAACAATGCTGTTGTGGTACGATATTTTGAACAGAATCCATTTTGATGATCGGCAATTGGATATCTTTCCCTATAATGGGGAGAAGTAAAAGAACAAGTATCTTCGATCCTAACGACAAACCCAAAAGTCTCGCCTTTGTTGGCATCCTTGTCTGTTGGGCGTTCCACCCGGACATTGTCCAGTCTTGGACAGCCGTTTTGATGGCTAGCTACAGGTTAAGGACATCAACTTCTTAAACTCAACTCCTGGCGTATCCAGCTGTTTCAATATCACCCATAGTAAATTGTGGTGGTACATCTTCAACAGAAAGAGGGATGCCGTGTGTGTCTGCATTATTTTCTATGGAGTTCTGCCAAGCCACCGATGTAATACGATCTCTCTATAGTGGCTATTCAATGTAGTATTTGAAAACTCCTTTTTGAGGATGAAGAGAATAATATCAATTCAATTCCTGCCAATATTTTGGGGCGCAATCAATATTTCGCTCTATCAAATCTTACATTACAGACGAAAATCAGAGTAATTTCAATTAAATTATGTTTGGAAGGTATCATAAGAACATTTCTATTACAAAAAATAAAAACAATAAACATAATTCTACTGTTTTATACCTACTTCTTGGCATACTACATCAAATTGGCTACAGCACATCTTGTCAACCAACAGTTTGTATTTATGCTAAAGTTAGCAGTTAAAATCGACTGAGATCGGTCCAATTATTTTCTATCACTGTCGCAATTGTGTGTCTCGTATTTGCAATTTTTTTGGAACACTTTCGAATTGGTCAACATCAATTTGAGTTAACAAACTTTTAAAGTACTTTAATTATTAAAATCCATTGGAAACTAAACAAGGACGCAATTCTCTACTATATGCAAATGTATTGGTTTAGCAAAAACACCTATTTTTACATTAGTCACACTTCCAAAAAAAAGTTATACTTATTTCAATATTTTTTCAATGAAAAAGAAAAAAATAAAAAATCCTTAAATACTGAATACTCTAACTATAGTTTTCCTTAAGATACCAAAAAAAAACAAAAAGAGAGTCGTGCAACAAAGCCAACGGCACTATAAAAACTTTTTCAAATTTATTTATTATTATATAATCCTTTTAACTACATTTATACAACAATTAAGAAAAAAAACAAAACAAACAAAAAACAGGACATTCTAAATGTCTTAGGGTTCAAATTTTATTTCCGTTTATGTTTTTTATTTCTATTTTTTTATATAAAAATTTGAAGCTTTTTGCCCAAATATTTACTATTTATTATGACAATTTACGTACATCTATATATATTTAATAATTATTAAAAAACAACAACAACACACAACTATTAACAACAATAAAATGAACAAAGAAAAAAACAAATATTTTTTTTAAACATTAAAAACAACGTCTTCTTCTGCTTTAAGTTAAAAGCGATAAAAATTTAATAATTTTTATTAACAACAACAGCAACATAATTTCCAAAAAATGAACAAATGTTTTATGAAAATTGAAAAACAAAAACCGAAAAAGGTCACTTAATTAATAAATCTAAAACAATAAAATGAATAAAACATGCAACGCAAGAAGAAAAAATCAAAAACAAACTCCAAAAGCTGAATAAAATAAATTTAAATAAAAAACGAAAGAATGCATAAAAACAGTGAAAGAATGCAAACCAAGAAGAAAACTATGTACTCTCGAATGAGAAATTCGATGAATGATGTGAAAGCCCTTAAAAAGAAAAGAATGAAAATAAACAAAACATTGGTAAAACAAGAAAAACTAAAATGTCTTTTATTTGTTTGATGGAAATGTTATTGTGACGCAAGGAGAAAAAAGGTTTAAATTTTCAGGCAAAAATTAGTTTTTGGGGAGAGGCCGAAGAATAATATATTTATTATTTTCTTATATTTATATTCAATATCGCATTCAACTTGCTTCTTTCTGAGTAAACTCAGTTTTTGGCACAAAAATTATGCTCTAAAATGGATTTTCAGATTAAAAAATATTTGAAAATGCTTTGTTATTGCAAAATGGTCAGGCTTAATCCCTTTATTGTTGTTTTTATAATAACATTTGTTTATTAGTGGAGAACGATGGTAATATTTACCAGGGGGTAAGGCAGGGAATACCTAGGTTTCGTAAAGGCCCGACCTGACAATTTAAGCCTAACCATTTTGCAACAACAAAATACTATTGTATCCCGAATAAATAAGCCAACATTGTTCTATAAATAGACCGTGCCGACGAAGGGGTTTTTGTTGTAACAGACAGAATCAACGTACATGGTTATGATACTTCGTTCATGTAAAACGAAAGCATAACAAGTGGAGAAAGATAAAAGTGTTTATAAGTGCGGTTGTAAGATTTAGAAGATATTTCAAAAGAATTTTAGTTTTATGTAATTCTTTGGTTTCTCTTCTATTGAGCTTACGATCTCGTCACTTGGGTAAAACAAGTTTTTTGTCATAGGAGTTATATTTAAAATAACTTCTGGAAAGAATAATCCAGACAAAAAACGAGGGAACTCAGGAGGATTGGTGGCTCTTTCCGAACATTTTCCAACAACAAAATACAATGGTATGGTACACTGTTCTAATATTTGAAAATAAAAAATTTAACAAAATAATTGATTGATGTTTGCGTCAGTGCTAAGTCAGGTGCGAAAAAGCACAATATCGGTCCTCTCCATCTAGTAACTCCCCCACAAAGGGTCAAAATTTTGAATAATTACAACTCTTATAAAATGTGATGTAAAAATCCGATTGTATGCAAATTTCACACATCCCCATATTTATATTAACCCAGGGCCTGGCGTTATGAAGGAATATATCGGTTCACTCCTTCTGGTACCTCCCCCACAAAAGGTCGAAATTTTGAGTATTCATTAAGCTCATAAAACGGGAAATTAACATCCGATTCCATTTAGACTTGGCACATCTCAATATTTCCATCAACACAAGATCTGTTATAAAGATGGTAGAGTTCGGACCTCCCCCACATAGGGCTCAAGCCAAATAAGCATTCAACTCTCTTCAAATTTCACACATACAAACATTTTTGCTAACACAAGATCTGTTGTGAAGGTGATATATACTTGCGAAACCCTTCTGGTACCTCACCCACATAGGGTCACAATTTTCAATACTTTAATCTGTTATAACTTATATATTATATATGAATATTTCTCTCAATCAGAAACTTGGGATGAATATGGATTTTATGACGAAGTTAACAAAAGAGACCAAACCTGGTACGTCGCAACATTTAAAACGTATTTATTTAGGTCCGATATGAAATGGACAATATTGGTCCATTCCTTCAGAATCCACTCCATATAGGGTCAAGAGTTTGAATAAACATAACAGAAGTCAAAACATATTTAAATAATCAAACATTGGCTGGGGGCATACGTCCGTCGGCAGAACCGACTGATACTTTTTAACTTGTTTAATACTCAAAATGAACAATTTGTTCAGTTTGACAGAATTTTTTGATCAAAACTTTGTACATCGAACTGAATTTTCAGACTTCAAGGTTTTATATATTTTTGAGGTTTTTGCTTTTGTCGGAATGAACAATAAGAAAATATGTACCTTTTATGCCAAAAAGACTTCAAATCGTTCATTTGAAGTTTGAAGTAACATATTAGTAAAATTATTGCACTATTTCAACGTCTTCATATGTAAACCATTAAAACCCGATCAACCAACCAAATCAAATCTGAGCATTTCAGCCATATCTCTTTACCCAATACCAAATTTAGTACCAAAACCACCACAAGATCTCAAACGAAGATACCAAGAGGGGTTCGAGATCCAGGCCCTATACATTCACTCAATACCAAATTTAGTATTATTTCGTACTTTCCATATAATTTTAGTTTTCATTTGCAAAACCGTTCCATATCTCAATCATAGATACCAACAGTTATCGCAATGTGAAATTTCACTGTTTCAGCTCTATCCCTTCACCCGATACCAAATTTAGTTGAATTTAGTACTTTTCGAACAACTTAGTAAATATTCCGAAAGTCAACTTCAAATCTCAAGCTCAGATACCAACGGTTATCAAAATATCAAATTCCAGAATTATATCTCTATCCCTTTAACCAAGGCATAATTTAGTACCATTTAGTACCTATTACACATTTCCAAAACAACCTTCATATATCAAATTTACTTTACGATATCGATTTTCATAACAAATTTCAAGTTTTTAGCTGTATTCGTCCAAATGGTACCATTTTAGAAAGTTAGTACCATTTTAGGACTTTTCGTATCCAACAATTTCGAATTTCCAAAAAACCTTTGAAACATATCCTGTACTTCATCAGTGACTCTCATTCCAATATTCGGAATCTAATTCGTTCCGTTATTATTAGTATTGAATTTATAGTACATTTTGGTACTACTCACCAAAACTGACCCTTGTGCAAAATTTCAAGTCAGTTATTTCAGTACTCTTTTATATATTTAGATAGAAGGTATGCTTATCAAACATTTTAAATACCATAAAAATTGTTTTCAATCGAAAGTATTTCGAATGTGCGATGGGCACGAGGAGGTCATTAACTCATTCTTTGTATAAAATTATTCATTAATTATTATCCTATGTATACTCCATTTAAGTTTATATGGGAATAAACCCAATTCAGCTATAAGACCGAGAGTATTAACTCACAACGAGTACATATAATCAGCAATTAAATGGTGAACAATACGTATTATCAAATTACAATTTACATATCACTTCGCTTTATAGTTCCTAGGTTTTCTGTAAAGATACAATCTTGTTCAAACAAAACGCTTGATTAGATTTGGTGCATCGCATTTCCCAAGAGATCACCAACCGTTTAATGTGACAAGCGACTGTCTTCTCAAAATGATAAACATGTGTAACAATTTGGCAATAAATATATTCTTACCATAAATATATCTTTGTAAAATACTCATGTTAATAACTGTCTTGTGTTTTCATTAGATATGAAATATTATCGTAATGTTCATAGCCGCAATTTTCTGAATGAGACAAGAATATCCCCTTGGATACATTTCAATGTTAAACCCCACCATCTGTGAAAGGTAATAAATTGTTTTCGAGATAACATCAGTTCTGTTGACATTCTAAATATTCACGTTCACAGCATACGCAACAGATAACAAGTCCGTTTGTTTTATAAAACATACATACCTGACTAAACCACAGTAGCACTTAAAATGTTCATAAATAAAAAGAAAAACAAAACAAAAAAAGTATTCTTTATGTAAATAGTATTTTCTGTTTTTATTAAAAATAGACAATGAAATTAAATCACAAACATTTAGACAAAATCTGACTTGATGCAATCCTGGAAAAGTGACTGGTAGTGGCAAACTAAACCTAAAGTTAACTTCTTTTGTATGCAGTTTCTTGGAAGTGTGCTTTTGGCACTTTTCGATGCACAACTCTTACAACTGTTTCGAACCTACTTTCGATTTCAGCTGATCGGCAACATATTGCCAATATTTACGACGTATTATATCATGTTTCTTGGACATATCATCGCACAGTGTATACACTTTACGGGACAAAGTTTCTCGTTCACCACCATCAGACGTTGCTAAACATTGTTCACTGTAAACATCAATCAGGAATGCTATAAGGTACGGTGATCTAGAGTTATTATTGTAGAGCTCTTCACAAAATGCTATGACATGGGGGAATTGTGAAAGGGAACCACTTTCACTTTGTCGCAGAATACCCTTAAGGTAATTCCAGGAACTTTCGTTGTTTTTCACAATGCGTATACGATTCATGGTGTATTCCAATTCTCGTTGTATTACCTCCGGAGTGAAACCGAAATGTTTAAGTACAAAGAAACGTTGATTCCATGCCGAATTGTTGCGGATGTCCTCGGATATTAGGCGATCAGTAAATGCCAATTCACCGTCATAAAGACTGCAAATTAATAATAAAACAAGTAAATTAATATTAGTAAATATATCTAAATAAGGTATAAAGGCGAGAATGCATAAAACGTTTTCTTTTTTGTCTGGCTTTAGTCATCGGCTGGCTTCTTTGTAGGGGAACAAATGAGTTTTAGGTTGACTTAGTTTAATGTTGGCCCTAACCTCCTTTTTTCGAAGATGCCGTCCGATGACTTAAGCCAGTCAAAAAAAAAGACCTTTTATGGACTCTCACCTTTTTTGACATCTTCTTAGTGGTTTCATTCTTAGTCTAAGCTCATATTTAAACCGAATGCTGAACTCGATCAATCTGCATTTTACAATTAAGCATTTTCGTCTGACCACCTCGGTCGCCTTAAAAACGTTACATCCTGCCCAATTGTCTACAAGAAGCGCGGTCATTTGTTAAAATATCCAAAAATTCCGAAATATAGTCCTTTTAGTTCAAAAATGGAGCTAGGACCCTCGAAATACCCATAATTGTAGGCCTGGAGGATGGGGTTATTTTAAAATATGAACATATTCTACTTTGCGAAGATTTTTCCTACTCGTTAAAGTTCCAAAACAACTAAAAACATTCAAACATTTTAACTGCAATTTGTTTAAACCATTAAATTCTTTATCAATGCGAACACTTTGTAGATCTCTTGGGCTTTATGTTGTGCACAATTCCTGTCCGACGCACCTGGATGTTGCTCGTGGCACCACCTCATTGATTGATTTTTGCCTGGTCTCTGAGACCTTGGCTTTGAATTTTTCCTTGCAGGGGCAGTGTCCTGGTATTTCTCACCATGCGTTGATTTTTGGAGGTGTTGAACTCCCGGTTATTGCCGAAGAAAAAGTTATTGAATTCCTGGATTTTCGTAGGACCGACTGGCGGGGTGTGGAAGATTATGTCTGCAATTTTGATTTTAGTCCTCTGTATCTTACGAGTGATGTTGACCAACAGTTGGCGTTGTTTGATTTCTTGTTTCAAAATTTGTTGTCCTTCGTACCCACTGCTACCAGTTCTTTTTGCCCAAAAAATGATGCTTGGTTGGAGTTGGATGTGGTGAAATCGGCTTGTTACGTTAGGGATCAGGCTTATCTGGAGTGGCGTAGGTGTCCTACGGTTCGCAACAGGCAAATATTTTGTATGTACAGAAACCGCTGTAAGGCTGTCATGCGTAATGAAAGAAGGAAATTTTATGAGGAAATGTTTGGTCGTATGAGTAGTGTGCAGATATGGAAGTCGTTAAAGTCGTTTGGTTGTCTTGATGATGGTTGTGATGTCCCATTTATTGATGTCAATGCTGCTAATAATTACTTTTGTAGTGTTGGTAATTTAACTTCATCTCGGGATTTTGTGGTTAGTGGGGCAAATGGTTTTGATTCTTTTAGATTTGACTGTGTGTACATGGAGGATTTGTTGCGTGCTTTGCGGAATGTTAAGTCAAATGCTGTAGGTGTTGATGGTATACCTATCAAGTTCTTCAAATGTGTATTCCCTTACATTTGTTCTCACTTTCTGCATTTTGTAAATTGTATTTTTATGACGTCAACCTTTCCGCTTGCGTGGAAGGTTGCTCGTGTAGTGCCTGTGCCGAAGAAGGGGAGTTCTTATCAGCAGACGAATCTTCGACCTATAAGCATCCTGCCGGCTATGTCGAAGATAGTTGAGCATATAATTAAGGATGCTATTGTGGAGTTTCTGGATGACCATAGATATTTGAGTAGTTCTCAGTTTGGATTTCGGCGTGGTTCTAGCACCACTATTCATCTTTTAGCCCTCACTGATCTCATTCGTGATGTGTTCAATGGTTCTGATGTTGGTTTGCTCGTTGGCCTTGACTTGTCTAAGGCCTTTGATTCCGTGGATCATGCGCTTCTGCTTTATAAGCTGAGAGACAAATTTGGTTTTTCTTCTTCATCATGTAGATTGATATCGTCGTATTTGAGTGGGAGATCTCAGTTTGTTGTGCACAGGGGTGTTGAGTCTGATGTTTGTGCTGTTCGGTGTGGTGTCCCGCAAGGGTCTGTACTTGGCCCTCTGCTTTTTATAATGTTCATTAATGATATTATGGGTTCCGTACCTAATTCTGCGTGTGAGGTCTTCATGTATGCGGATGACATTCATGTCTTCTTTAGAAGTGCAGATCTCTTTGAGTTGCAGAATGGCCAACGTAGTGGGGATTGCTTTCTGCATGGATCTCCTCTAATGGTTTGTCTGTCAATTGGAATAAAACCGAAGCTCTTCTGTTTAATAGTCCTCGTAATGTTCCTATGCCGTGCATCTGTGTTGGCTCTTTTGTGGTTAATGTTTTGGATGAGATGAGATGTTTAGGTGTAGTCCTTGACACCAAGCTTAATTTTTCTGCGCATGTTGATTCATTGCTGTCTCGTGTGCGTTTTCAGCTTAGGAGGCTCTATAGTCTTCAGGCTCACTTGCCTCTTGGTGTTAGGATGATGGTAGCCAGATCCTTATTAATGTCTCATGTCAACTATTGTTTGGAGGTAATTTCTGGAACCAATGCTTGCCAAATTTTGCGCGTGCGCAAACTTGTTAACTCTATTGTTAGGTATGTGTTTGGGTTGCGCCGTAGTGATCATGTAACACAGTATGTTATTAAGTTTCTTGGTCTGTCTTTTGACAGATATGTTGAGTATCGCCTACTTTTGTGTCAGTACAGGATTATGATTAATGTTAATTCTCCTTTATATAATAAGTTTGTGTTTTGTAGATCATCTCGGAATCCGCAATTGCTACTTCCGAGGTTTTCGTCTTTAGTTGGTGAAAAGGCGTTTATTGTGAGAGTTGCGAGATTGTGGAATCAGTTGCCTCTGACCCTACGTAATTTTACCTACTATTTTAATACATACAGGAAGAGGTGTTTTGAATATTTGTCTGTTCATTGAGTTTCTGGTTGCGGGTTATTTTTGTTATTTCTTTTTAGTTATTGGCTGGGGGGCCATTTTTATGGTTGTTTAATTTCTGTTGAGTAACGTTATTATTTTATTTTTCTTTTCTCTTTTGTAAGAATTTCGTTCTTATGCTTGTAGTTGCTACATTTGCTCGATTTGAAGCGAGTGATGGTTAGCACCTTAAGGTATGGATGCCTCTTGCATTTTTCCTCTCTGCCTTGCTTAACTGTTGTTCAGCTTGGTGGAGAAGTTGTGTCTGAGGGTCTGATTATTGTTATTTAAAGTATTTTGTTTATAAATATAATTTGTATAATTCTTGTAAATTTGTTGTTATGTATTAAGGTTTTTTTTTATGTTAATATAGTTATAGGCTGTGTTTATACTGTTGCATATTAATATAAGATTTTGGCCATGTTGGCTTATTTATATTGAATTGTATGAAATAAATGAAATGAAATGAACACCATAAATGAGGCAAACGTGGACGGATATTAAAAGAAACGTTCATTCATCTGAGTGATGGAAAGGCATCGTAAAATGATTTAAGAAGTTTCTGACGAACATTTCGAAATAAACCATAAGTGAAAATTTTAGAAAGTATATTTCCGCGCTGTTTATATAAGTTAAACAACGTCCTTTACGGAATGGAATAAACGAGAGGATTTTTGACGCTTCTCTCAAGTTAACTCTTATCTCGAACATGATATTATACATTCGAAGGTTGATAACTATCAATATTAAATTAATTTGTTTGAGTATCCTTCCACTTGTAGGTTCATGTCTTGAGTACGTCTTGGGCCGACTTTTCCAAAACGTCAGCAACGATGCGTATCGACGTTTTTTTACTAAACCAACTACTTACTTGAATGTTCTTATAGCCCATTGTCTGTGCTGCCAAGCATGATAGTTTTTGGCATCAGTGCCTAATGCCATTTCTGTCAGCTCCAACTCTTTGGATGCATCATTCAACATTTCCACAATAACACGACGATGATGCCAAACCTGATAGTTTTTGGCATTCTCCGTAATAACTTCTTCAATATAGCTTAACTCCTCGTTCAGATCGCTACCCAACTCTCGCAAAATGTCACGTCTATACTGCCATACAGTGTAGTTAGCCGGATTGAGGCGCAAGGCATCTGTTGTCAGCTCCAAAGCCCTAGCGGATTTTTCTTTGCGAGCCAATATAGCACGGAAATAATCGAATATTTCACGGACTGGAAAAAAATTGTTTTACATCGAAAAAGGAAAATCTAGCACAAAAAAAAAAATTCTTACATTTTGCACTGTAGGCAATTGCGACAACTGGATGCAATCCATCATCCTGTGGTAATGGGGTTATATCTTTCCATTCATTTCTTTGGCTGTATGGCACAAAGGATTCACTCCATTCGTCATCAGAACTATCGCTCATGTTGATTTGTAAGAATTAAAATCAGTTATGGAATAGAACTTCTTATTTGCGGCCTTTATTGGGCAATGACTAAGTCCAAAAGTAAAGTTGTAATGTTAGAAATGCAATATTTCTCTCCTGACTACAAAGTCTCTGTCAGAAATGGCGCCGTTCCAATCAAGAAATGTGACGGAAGAAAAAATTGTAATAAAGCTCCGAATCAAAACAAAATGAACGACAAGACAGCAAGAGATTTAGAGATCGAAAAATATATAGGGAATAGTTTATACAAATCGACTTTTGCTTGAAAACTGGTGACACGTTCATACGTTGCCCAAACTAATGCCGGTATATCGTTTGAGCAAATATAACTTGAAATGCCCCAAAGGAGCAAAAGTGAAAAAATTCTTAAGACCATGGTACAATAAGGAGGTAGAACAGCTTCGTAAAACTACAGAAATACAGCCCTGATTCTGTGCCCGCTTTCTGTCGACACAATTCAAATTATATGCAAAAATTTGTTCTCATATTTTTCCTCATTTTTAAGTGAGTTTAACATGGCAAAATTAAGAAGGTAAAATCATTTCAAATAAGTATCCCCATCACTGCATTTTCTGTAATTTACCTTGTCAAATTTCACTGCATAGAAAAACGGTTCCCATCTCTGATTTGTGTATGTACTATGTATTTATAAACATACATTTTGACAATGAGATTTTGCTAAATAAATAATTTTGAAAAAAAATTGTAAATATATGATTGCATGACTTTACCTTCTTAATTCTACCATGGAGTTTAATAGCGCGAAAAATAAATGAAATGCCTGGATTTTTTTCGAAAATATGATCCAACTGTTCAATCTTTCAATTCCATGGCTAGACTGGTTAATAGCTTTAATGCGTGAGCCGCAATGTACGTGTTTTCCAAGCATTGGTTTTAAAAATATTTTGTTTTAATTTTTCAAAACAATAAATACATACACAAAATTGGCAGAAGTCGGGCACACTTAGAAAAAATTGTAATCAGCTGGTAGCTCTACCTTACCTTTTTATTGTACCATGCTTAAGACCAACTCTCAGTCGGAACTAGAAAAATATATATTTTTGAACTAAATTGATTTGTTCTGCATATTATGTATATCTGATACTATTTACAATTTTTTACTGTGTTGTATGAAGAACAACTGGTAATAATTATACTACTACAACAAGACCAATTAGTACCATGGCAAAATAACTGAAGGTAGAACAAAGGTAACCCCTTTTGATGCCCTTATTCTGTCAAAACATATACACATTTTGTGTAAGTGTGTGTATTGTTTTGAATAAGAAATATAATAATTTGAAATTATTTCAAATTTGTTTGGAAAATAAATGCAAATTTTCGACGTAAATGGGTACCATGTTGTACAATTTTGTTATTACAAGTTTCATTTAAATATGAACTGCCCGGTAAGCGAAAGGTCACACCATTTTTTCTTTATCTTTTAATGTAAAGTTTACTGAATTCATGTTGCCATATTTTATATTGATAGTAAGGTAATAACAGCAAATTTAATCAAATAAAAAAATTAATATCGCAAATCGTTTTTTTATATTGAAGAACTGAATTATAGATTTATTTCACGAAATTTATTACAAATTCGTTTTGTTTATTATTTTTAAACTAAAATGAAGATGCCGTTGTGAAAAAAATTCAATGACTACTAGTTACTTTTCCAAAACGCTTGCCATATCTCTGCAAAAAAAAAGGATATATCTTAAAGGAAATATGTAATAATGAGAACCCGATAATTTAACTTTATCCTTCACTATAAAGAAAATATATAGGAATGGCTGTGTGTATGATATAAAAATGATAAGAATTGTTTGGCGTTTATTTGTTGGGATACCATAGTTATTTTATTATTGGAAAATTGTCAACTATTTTTTTTATAAAAGCAGTTTACATTTATTAGTTTAGAAAAATGGAAATGTTTACCAGTGGATCCTCTAAATCATTTTTTAAGTTACCGACAAGACTCATTTGCTAATTTTTTTAAAGAACATTAATTTTCATATATGAAATATTTACGTATGAAGAGTGGCAAATTTTGCACAAAATTATTAAAATCTGTTATTTTCCGCATTTATATGCACGTAAAACAGTTAAAAGTTCCATATCTTAGGAAGACGAATCATATTTACCTTGTCGCAACTCAAACACATGGCACAATTAAGAAGGTAAAATCTTGCAATAATATATTTACACTTTTTTAAATAAACCTTTGGCATCTTATTGTCAAAACCTATATTCAGAAGTGTATTGTATATTCACAATATCAGAGATGGCAACCAGTTTCTATGCAGTGAAATTTAACCAGGTAAATAACAGAAAATGAATTTGAAAATAATTTACCTTCTTAAGCATATAAAAATTTAGTTATTTAAAATGCTTTTAAGTTAGTCTCTATGGATCAAATCCTCAGAATAGCCGGCAGAAAAATGTTGGCAAAATCTTCATAATACCTGCTGTATCGATACATCGTTTAAAGCGGCATCCTACGCTATTAATGGCCTGCCAATGTTTTAGTTTTTATATTCTTACTTGACTTTTATCATTGTACATTGAAGAAGGTAAAGTCGTGCAATCATATGTTTACACATTTTTCAAAATTATTCATTTGACAACATCTCATAGTCAAAATTTTTATTTAGAAATCCATTGTGTACACACAAATCACAGATGGGAAACAGTTTTCGATGGCGTGTAATCTGACAAGTTAAATTACAGAAAATACAGAGCTGGGAATACTTATTTGAAACAACTTTTACCTTTACCATGACTTTTATGTTGTGAAAATTACAAAATATTTGGTCGGAAATAAATCTAAATTTCTTGTCAGTTGTACGCTCATATTTAAGGAAGAAGAATGATTGCATGACAATTGTGCCATGTGTAAAATTAAAACGCAAAACTATAAATAAAAAGTCAAAATTAAATGCTCTGTTCCAGAACCTGCAATAATCTAAAAGTTTTGCATTTTTTCCATGTCAAAAAGAAAAATTGGCTGTCGAAGTAAAAACTTTTACCTTCTTGCAGTTCTGGAACAGACCTTATGTAAGAAAAGAATTTAAACTACGTTTGTACAGCACTATTCGTAATCCATAATTCATCTAATCCAAATCGGCCATGAAATTTCTTTCTACAACTCACTTGAGGTGAGGGTACATAAGCAGCTTGGCATCATGGCTAGGCATATTTATATCAAATTGTGAAGGTAAACAACGGCAGGATTCGAGTGCGGCCCCGGGATCCCTAATAATATGTTACAAAATATGCCATGGGAAGACCTCAAGCTGCTTATGAAACTTTAGATTTTAAGTAGGATAATAGAGCATGTGTTCCAGAGATAGGTCGAAGAAGTTGCACCTTTCGATTTGGAATCTATAGTATTTTACATTAGGTTCTCCCAAAGATTAAAGCAAAGACATAGAAGTGTAAAGATAGGACAAGACAGGGTCAAAACATGGCAACCCTTTGAAAATTCCTCTGTTGTTACGATATCATAACAACATGGTTACCAATGTTAACTGATTTAAACCGCTAAAGCAATATGCAAATTTTTGGAAAGGTCTATGGAATAAAATTTTGAAACCAAAATTTTGGATTTTTCAAATTTTAATTGTTATTCGTTTCTGTATTTGTGGTTTTTATATTAACATGTCTCTGCCATGAGCTGTTACTCTATGTATTATAGACACAACCCATTTACCAAAATGCATTTTGTTTAGTCTATACCATTTTAAGTCTTTGATTAAAGTTGAGAGTACATAAAACTATTATTTGACTGGCTCAAGTCATCGACTGGCTTATTCGTAGAGGAACAAAGGGGTTTCAGGTTGACTTAGTTCGAGTTTGGCCTTTCGCTCCTTTGTTCTTTTTCGAATGAGCCATCCGATGACTTAAGCCAGCCAAATATGCTTTTTATGTATTCTCACCTTAAGAGTAAGGACTCATACTTACCATATTATAAACTAAAATTATTTCAAATGATAAAACTTTGAAACGGTGCAATTTATTTAAGGCAACGTCAAGTGTCAGTGAATATCGATTTAAACAATAAACATTCAAAATTTGGGGATTTAATTAACATGTTGTTGTCTCTTTTGTTGGTTCGAAAAATACTACTACACAATTAGAATCGGGGTTTAAAATTATGGGGATATTGATTAAAACGAGGACGCAGAGCGGCATTCGCCTTTTCGTACTCCTTGCCGGTTTGGCCCAATATTATGCCTTCGGCTAATTTAACATCCTTTCCAGGAGGTGTAGAGGCAGCCTCGGCAACATCAATGATGCGAGGATTTTTACGATATTTGTACCACCAGTATTCGAAGACCAGTGTAATGCAAGCCATTCCAATGCCAACGAAGATCACAATGAATACACCGCCAATGTTCTCAATAGAAATGCCATCGGATTGGTCTTCCGGTTTGTCACACTTGGCCTGGGCTTCATCATTTTTCCACCATTTCTCTTTGAGTTTTTCCAATTGTCGTTTATTGAGAAGGGTTAAAATTCTAAAAATATTGCATGTTTTAAATGTCTTGCAGCGAGGGCATGATTGAAATACTTACGCATTGTTAAATTGATCCTTTAGATGGGAACCCTGTTGCACTGCAATGGCATAAGGTTTGCGGGAGAATTCCTCTCCAACCACCTGGAGGTCACAGTTGGTCATTACCAGGTAACGTATGTCGGTAGCATCACCCAAAAATGCAAATCCCGTAGCCGTGGTGGAGTTACGAACTCTGGCCACAGCCTCATCCAGAGTTGCCGGCAATTGTGCCTCTTGCATGGCCTGCCACATTTTCGTATATTTATCACTAACCGGATAATCCCACACGGCTAGACGTGATCTCTCCAACGGCGATAGGGAATCATTGAGCGATAGGTCTTTCCAAATTTCATAGAACATTTGTTCAATATTTGCCATGCGCTCAAAATAGACCATGGCCGATGATCCATTAAGTGGAGCATACAATATTTTGTATTGCTTGGCAAGGTCGTCCAATGATTCCACGGGTGTGTCCAAACGTGATACGGTCAGGAAAGCAGCCAAATTGGCGGTATATGAAGCAATAATAATAAAGCTGGGAGGAAAGTAGATGTGAGTTATATTTTCTTTAAAGAAACATGAATGACTTACCCAAACAACCACCAAGTAGCAGCCACCAAACGTCCGGAAAGATTTTTCGGCGCTTCACCACCACCCTGTGGCGTTAAAGAAGTCATGCAAAACCATAGGCATTCCTTCAAATTGAATTCTCGTTTTTCATCATCGTCTTTGTACTTCTCTCGATTATTCTGATAACTGTATGGACTCCAACGATCAAAGACCCACATCAGAAAACTGGTAAAGAAATATGCAGCCAAAATACAAAGCCAGACATTCGTCTCCAACACTGTCAAGAATTTAAACAGAGAACTCGGTGTACTCGGTCTCTGCATCATTATAGTGATGCCCACCAAATCGTAGTAAGGTACCGTAAAGTCGATTACAATTTCTCGCTCGGCCATTACCGACATTGATCCGAGGCCTATATCGGCTTTTTTGTCTATCAATTTCTTTACAATGCCATTCCATTCGCCTTTCTCATCCATGTTGCCGAATTTACCATCTTCTACCTCTTCAATGGTATAATCAAAGTGAACGATTTCGGCAATTTCATTGATAAGATCAATACAATAGCCCTTGTATCCTTTGGGCGCCGTTTCATCTCGCATTATAAATGGAGCTTGCTGTAACGAGAAGGGATTTAAATAAATGACATTAGTAAAGAGAAATCTATCGAAAAAACGATAAAAAAATGAAGAAATTCCAATTTTCCAAATTTGTTTTCCAACAAGCCAAAAACTTCGTTTTGACATTTCAAAAAAAGTTTTCCAAATTTCTTAGACAAAAAGATGCCCAGATAAAGAAAAAAATTGTCTCGCAAGGCTCTAAAGACGAGAGACGAAATGTTTTTCACATATGTAATGTAAATTGTCCATATGTAGAAGTTGCACATATTGTATGATATTTATTAGACGGTTTTTATTTATTTGCCGGTTTTGTGTGAAAATACATAATTTTTATAATTTAATTTTTATTAAATTTTACGTCATATGTCATCAATATTACAAAATGACACACAGCGAGGTCTGGAAGTTAAAATCCCGCACACCCATAATATATTCAGTGGATTTCGACTGTTATCCCACTGCGTATACGACAATTGAGATCCCCTGAATTTAAGATTTGACATATACGCAATGGAATTGACAGTTGAAATCCACTGATTATTATTGTTAGCCCAATCATGAATGCCTACGCGGAATTCTATTACTAATGAATAATTGTTCCTCTACGAAGAAGCCAGCCGAAGACTAAAGCCATTCAAATAAGCGCTTTATGTATTCCCACCTTTATTCATGGGTAAACAAGTTAAAGCTCTGTATTATTGAAGTCAAAAAGTATAACCAATTCGTAAGCTTTTTTTGTAATATCGAACAATTTATTGGAAATATCATCTTTTAGCTTTAGGTACATCTGTTTAGTGTGAATGTTTTTAAAATGGTATGCGTTTACATCCAATGACAAGTACCCAAATTCAGACTGTAGCTCTGTTTGTAGGCCATCGTAGTGTTTGAGTGGTTATATGAATGGTTGAGGCGTTTGAATCGGAATTGTGTGAATTTTCAATTCCAATGTCCTGTTGAGAAAAAAAGTTTCATATAAAACAACATTAATAGAAGCTAATAAAAAAAAAAACAAAGATCGATTCGTTAGAATACGATGTACTCGGATATTTATAGTGTTTCTTCTAAGCTATATGTAAACCCATAATAAATATCAAAGTTGCATCTAAGTATAATCTTAATTGGTTTTAGTGAAAGCAAGTAGTGGACAGGGGACTAGCTTTAAGTTTTTTGATGGCCGATTACTCCGATTTTCGTTCAAAAATTAAAAAGATTTTCTGGTTTGGATTAAGTACAAGAAATTAGGTCTGAGCTTATTTTAAATGTTGGCGCAACAATCTAAAATAGCTCACACTCTCTAAAAAAACTCTCTCTCCAAAATCTTAAGGTGAGAACACATAGAACAAGTTTCTGTCTGGCTTCTTCGTAAAAGAACAAAGGAGTTTTAGGTTGACTTAGTTCAATTTCAGCCCGTAACACTCTAAAGGTAATACATAAAACGCTTTTTGACTGGCTTAAGTCATCGGCTGGCTTCTTCGGAAATGAACAAAGGAGCCTAGGGCCAAACTCGAACTAAGTGAACCTAAAACTCCTTTGCTCCCCTACGAAGAAACCAGTCAAAAAAGCGTTTTATGTATTCTCACCTTAAGCTCCTTTTCTCTTTAGCCAGCCAATGCTTTAAGACAGCACAAAAATACTTCTATATCTTTCTTTTATAATCCACTTCTGTTACTTACTTACTTTAAAAAAAGTGAAGGATAATGTTCACATTATCGGGTTCTCATTATTACACCTTTGCTTTAAAATATATGCATTTTTTCAGAGGTATGGCAATAGAATTGGAAATCATTTGTAAATATAAGTGGTAGTCATTGCATTTTTTTCATAGTGGCATCTTCATTTTAGTTAAAAACAAGTAAAAAAGTTGTAAGGTTGGTCGGACCGATCTTTGAATACCCTCCACCATTTGGAACGATTTTGGCAATTTTCAAAAAAATAAAATCCGTTTAAAATTCTGTTAAAATATTAAAAATACCGAAAGTAGCCGTTATATTAGGGTCTATTCGACGTGGACCGGCATAGGCAACTTTTGTCATAGACCATTACAATATCCAAATGCGAAACTTGAATAGAAAAAATCAGTGAATAATGTAGCTTAAATCATAAAAATTCGGAATATCGGGAGGTAGCGTTATATTGGGTCTATACGAAGACATGAACCTGCACAGACAATTTTCTGGCTTATGCTGTAGTATCTATTATACTAAATTTGAAATAATTCCGTCGCAATAATATCGCTAAAATCATCAAAGTACCGAATATCGGGAGGTACCGTTATATGGGGGCTATAACAAAACGTGGCCCATTTTCAATACCATAAGTCCTGCAGACTAATATACATTTAAGTAAAATTTTATCAATCTACTTCATTTCGTTCGGAAGCTAGACGGATAGATGGACGGACATCGACATAGAATTTTATGCTGATCAAGAATATACATACTTTGTGGGGTCTAAAATGTATATTTCGAGATGTTACAAACGGAATGACATACTTAATATACCCTCCATACTATGGTGGAGGGTATAAAAAATAGTAAAAGAGAATGTCATATTTGTGTGTGTTCTCTTCGTTTAACCTGCAAGTTTTACAATGGTACATTTTGGTACTATATTGCAGGTTCTGGGCATCATCTTATATCTAATACTTACCACTACTGTGAAAATTCGATAAACCGTATCTGCCGTTAGATTCTTCATAGCTTCCTCATCATTAACAACAAGTGGTGAATCCAAGCCCGCCGTCCATCTGCCAATTGATTTACTATTGACCGAATTACCGCCACGTATTTGAACTACATTGACATCCATATCGAATTTGAAAAAGCTGTAGCCATTGAATGGTTTTCCAGGTTGCGTGACCAAATCAAAGTCGCCGTATGAAGCGGGTTCTGTGACCTAAAAATCAAAACAAAAAATCTTTGATTACTTCACCCAATCTATTAACACCCGAACACACGATAACAATAATATTCAATTAACCTGTAATTAATAAGTGTGATATGAACAATAGCATAAAAGTTATTGTATAAATTATGAGTATAGTATGTGAAAATAATAAAACGTAATCTACTTTGTTTATAAAATAAAAATGAAACTAGTTTGCGTGGCATATACGCGATGATGTCGTATACATAATGCCACTATATATACGCCCAAACGAGTTCAAATAAAAAATGCATATACACCATACCTGAACAAATGCCTGCCTCAAATCAATATTTCTCTCTGGTGTATTACCACCTTGAAAGTCGTCACAACCCAAATATTCCATATTAGCAGGCCAGGCACCTGATTGCAACATATCTCTGAAAAGAAAAAAAAACGGAAGTCAGCAGTGGGTCCAAAATAATATTAGCCAATAACTCACTTGACAGCCAAAAATGTTCTCAAAGCCAAATCGAAATAGAATACCGACATTATCTGTGGCTCTTCATTCAGATTATAAGTGGTTCTCAGTTGCCCCAGACGTTCACGATTTTGTGTATAAACAATAGGTTTCAAAAACATTATCGTTGCATTATCGCGTTTGCTGCTAACCTCGCCCTCATTTTGGGTTATGGCATGCCAGGCGAAATTGCGCTCGAAAAATGCCGGCTTTACCGATTCTAAAGAGAATAATGGTAAAAATGTTTATCTTATCCATTACAATACTGAAACCTACCAAGCACTTGTCCAATCGTCTTCAAACTACCCAATATAAAAAAGTTGTTGATATCCAAATTACGCAGCCTTTCAATTTGATCTGCCCGGGCACTATCACCTTCCGCCACAGCCGTTATGACATGACGCGTTTGAATATTCTGCAACAGCGACTTGTATTTGTGATCCATTACAAATGTGTTGTCGTACAAGATGGCAGCATTAGTTATATTCATCTTTCGCACAATGCTGCGCACAACCTCTGGTATTATATCCGCCGGGGGCATTACTTGTAGCAGATATTTCTGTTTGCTTTCCTCCATGTCACGCCATTGTCGAAGATCACCTTCTTGGCCGTAGGATGCACTAACCGTGGGTAAACCTAAAGCCTGTGTAAAGGATTTCACCGTTTCGGATGCTATGCCGGACTTTGTGGTATCGAACACCACATGGGGAGGTTGTTTATTCTCAATACTCTCGGCATACTTGATACAAACTGAAAATGTGAGGTTTATTTAGAACAGGTATATTTTTGGCTGCTCAAGTGTAAATGTATGTTTAATTACTTGATTCCAGTAGAGCCTTGGCATCTGTTTTATTCGCTTCAATTTTATCGATTTGTACCGACAGTCCATAGTTGGAATTTTTCTTCAAATATGTCTGAACGATGTCGATGGCCTTCGATGCTGGGTCATTGTCAAGCTCGTTAATGAATACTAAAAATAAAAAAGATTAATTATTAATTATCGTAGTAAATGGTAAATGACGGAAATATTAATAATCTGTTCCAGAACTGCAGGAATGTAAAACTTTTTACTACGATAATCAATTTTCCCTTTATGTATCGAAAACATAAACAGATACATTTTTTTGTAAAATGAACAATGAATAAAATTGTTGAAATGTTTGCAAATCTTACTGGAAACTTGCCCGTAAAAATTATAACATTGGGTGATTGTAAGGCTGGAAATACATAGATTTACAGATTTAAGCTGGGAATACATAAAGCGCATATTTGGCTGGCTTAAGTCATCGGCTGGCTTCTTCGTAAATGAACAAAGGAGTTTTAGGTTGACCTAGTTCGATTTTGGCCCTAGACTGGCTTCTTCGGAAAATAACAAAGGAGCGTAAGGCCAAAATCGAACTAAATCAACCTATAACTCCTTTGTTCCTCTCCGAAGAAGCCAGTCAAAAAAGTGTTTTATGTATTTTCACCTTTACTTGGAAACAATCTTGGTGGTTTTCTAATACAATACTCCAAATCAATAATTTTTTTAACTTTATTATAATAATTTTCTCCATACGTAAACAACAACAAAATATTTGACGTTTGTTACCTTGAACAATTTTGACAGAATGCGAGCATAGCTGTAGGGATGTATTTTGGTAGTTTTTACGAATCTGTTCTACCTATCAATTGTATTATGAAACAAACTAATATTAAGCTAAACAACATTGAAATTGAACTAGGTCAACCTAAAACTTGTTTGTTCCTCTACGAAGAAGCCAGGCGACGACTTAAGCCAGCCAAACACATTTTATGTATTTCCAGCTTAACGCATTCAGCTGTTTCCTTGTTGGATTTTACAGAATTTTGTCCGATGGATTCTTGCAATATTGTCCCTTCGAGTTCGGCTCTTAGACCCCTTTATTATGTCACAAAATATATCATGCAGCACTATGTCGCGCATTTATGGTTAAAAAAGAAGCATTTTGTCGATTTAATCCACAAGTGTTAATGGAATTGTTTCATTCAGTATTCAAAACTCGAAATAGATCTAATTTTTCCTATATTCCGCTACATCAAGGTATTCAGTATTTTTATGATTTATGCTACATTTTGCAACGGAAGTGTTTCAAATTTGATATTTGTCCACATTTTCCTATAGACCCTACATTCGAATCCGAACATTCGATATTCTTAAGATCTTAACCACATTTTTTAACGGATTTGTTCAAAATTCTATATTTAAATTCTAAAATCGGATCCACGTGTGGTGATGGAACATTGATATAGTGTTACTTTTCGATATTTTCAAATTTTCAAACTCACAATTTATACCAATCCCTGTAGCAGAAAGTTGTCTATGCAGATTCGGAGTTTGGTATATCCATGGCAGCAAGTGTTGTTGTACAACAAACGTAACAACAACCACACACAAATTTGTTGTTGTACGTAATACAATTGTCAGAGTTATATGTCAAAAAATGTAAACAAAAAAATGAATTTTCAATAAATTATTTAAATTTTAAAAATGTTCATTTTTAGAATTTGAAATATTAAATTCAAAATGCAGAACAATAGTTCTTAAAATATTTAATTTTTATGCTTTCACATCATTCACCTGAATGTATAGTTTTTAGCTGTAAGTCCAAATCCCTCAATGCTTCAAGCAATTGCTAGAAAATCGTGGAAAATGCAACATCCCTTTCAAATTGAAACCAAGCTGCATACATAAAGTATTCTACATTTTGCAATTTTAGGAAACATGAAATATACGACTATATTATCTAATGTGGGCTCGCAGTTCCGTAACCGCGAAAAAGGTTCCGCACCATCGCTGTTGGCGTTTTATTAGGTATAATAGCGAATTTTTCTATTATTAGACGAAAATGTGTTTTTATTGTCCATCACTGCAGGACCTATTGTATATTAAGAAATGGAATTAAATCACAAAATGTCATATCGGGTCTGACACTAGTATTACTATAGGGTCAAATCAGCTGGGAATTGCTTCTACCTTCAATAATTATACCATAGGTATACCCATGGCACAATTAAGAAGGTAAACAAAGCTACCACCTACATACAATTTTTTTATTGGTGCTCCTATTCTGTCAAAACATATACACAGTCTGTATATGTGTGTGTTTATTGTTTTGAATAAAAAAGGAAATAATTTCAAATTTAGATGCAATAGAAATGCTTATTTTCTACGTTAACAGGTACAAAATGTAAAATTTTGGGATAAAACCCTATTGTTCCTCTATCTTGGATTCAATTTTGTAGAATTCCACAAAATTCCATTGATGTTTTGTGGATATTCCCCGATATAGTAATTTCTTAAAAAATGTAAAATAAGAAGACAAATTCTTGCATGTTTAAAAGTCTATTTGACACAATACGGCTGCAGTACAGGGTCCCAATTTTACTATTTTCTTTGAACTTGAACAACTTTTCTTATTTAGCCATTTAACGTTGTCGCCCCGTTTATAGAGGGTTTTTTACCTATTGGAAAGGGTATTAAAACTTTTTACATTATCGACAATATAGAAACAAAATGTTGTAATGACTTCCGCCTAAGTCAATGATACAAGTTAACCAATTCATCGGTGTTTGGCTCTGACTAAACTTTCCGACCTCCTAATGTAGAGTTAACATGTTTCTAGCTAATAATAATAATAATTTTCTAAATACTTTGTAGAATAAGTATAACCTTCAAAAGTATATAATGTAAATCCAGTACACCGTACCGAGCCAATCATTATAACCTGCTTCTAGTCAAACATACAAAGGTTTGGGAAATATTTTTGTACAATTTAAAGACAATGCATTTGTAAATGCTTGGAAGTTTTATTTTCCCTTTATTGATAATTCGCGTTTCCATTCTGTTCTCAACAAATTTTGTAAATGTAGACATCATATTTTTTATTGAGGTGGTCACTGAAAAAAGTAAATAACATGTTCGTCAGCAAACCTCAGCAATGTAAACACTATATGATCCGTATTTACACGCAAATAAAAATGGAGCCCGACTTATCACATCCCAAGAAATTGTAAACATTACATTTGTAGCGACCGATTACATTTGTAGCGACCGATCATAATATATGCTCCGTTCCAGTATCTTCAAGAATCTGCTAGTTTTGCAATTTTTGTAACCTCCACCATACATAGTATGGAGGGTATATTAAGTTCGTCATCGAAATAATAATATTAGACCCAACAAAGTGTATATATTCTTGATCAGCGTAAAATTCGATTTAGCCCAAAACAAATTAAGGGCTAAAATTTTGCACAGATCTGTCTTTTGTCTGCAGTCAGGTCAAGTACGAAGATGGGCTATATCAGTTCACCATATCGTATAGGCCCCATATAACGGTACCTCCGTCATTCGGTATTTTGATGGTTGTAGCCAGATTTTTCAATGGAATTGTCTGAAAATCCACACAAGGAGTTCCTTGTGACTACTTTATCCCCTGGAAGAGAATTATCTATATAGGTCAACGATATTGTGTATCCTCCCTATATTCCCTATTTTGATGATTTAGCACATTTTTCAACGGATATATATATATATCGGTACCCCCATATATTCGGTATTTTTTATTCGGTATTGTTTCAAATTTCGCGTTTGAAGTTCGGAACCATTACTACAGCTTATGACAAAAATTACTTATGCAAGATCACGTCTTCGTATAGTCCCCATATAACGGGTTTCATTTGAGCCGTATTTTTCGACGGATTTTTTTTTTAACTTTTCAAGTTTCTTCCAAATGGTGGAGGGTATAAAAAGTTTGACCCGGACGAACTTATCTGCTTTTTTTACTTGTTCTTCGATATCATATAGGGAAAATGGATTATCGTAGTAAAAACATTTATATTCATGCAGTTCTGGAACAGACCAAGAATTTATTAATTATTATCAACAAGGGACAAACATAGCGATGAACTGTCAAACCAATTTTGGAATTGAAAATGTTTAATGAAAAATTATTTAAATTTGTAAAAATTGTTGAAAAACGCGAATTATAATAGCCTCCGAATGACGTAGTATAAGAAAACATATAAAAATATACTTATATTTGAGAAAACATTTAATTTTTTTTTTTACATATCAATGCTCCCAAGCGTTGATGCATCTACCTGTATTTTTCTGCCATGGTTTTGACCATTTTTAGCAACTGTGTTCTGTGATGCGAAACTGCTTATGTATTATAACCCTTGTACAACATTATCCAGAGGCATAATTGGAACATTTTTCTTTAAAAATGAACCAGGAGTGGCCAGTCAATCACGAAGAAAAATTGAAGAGGAGGATGTTGGCAACATTTGGTTTCACTAAGTTTCACACAGCCGATGATACACTCCGCGATTTAACACCATTGGAGTGCCGTCAAAGGTAAGTGCTACGCCGACATCTGGCTTGTCAATTGACGCAATATTAGTGAAGCCTTTGGTGAAATACCGCGGCACACAGTCGATAATGTGCTTAAAAATTAGAGCGACTGCAAGGCCAGGCGATCCAGCCATTTGAGGGAAATTATTTTCCATAATGGATTTTTTATTTGAATTTCTACTCGATAATCTTGATTTTCAGACACGGGTTGCTAGCCTCCAGGTTAATCATTTTTTCTGCATTAGAACGCCCATCCATGGAAATTGGGGTTCAGAGGGAATTTCATTTGCCTACATTTTGCAAATTGTTCTTATATCCGATTCTGTGACCAGGTGATGAGAATTATTTTAAAGGTGTTATCCTTTATCTATTTTCAATTACGCAATAATTTATTACAAAATTGATACTCATTTTTATAAAAAGTTCTGGGATGTGAAAAAAAAGTCTCAATTGAACTGCATGGCAAACCAATTTTATCGATTTTTTTTATTAATAGAATTCGCAGTATATAGTATAACTTTACAATATTTACCCAAATATATAATATGTATGTATATGCAAACAAAGGAATTTACCCATTCTACTTACAAACATTAATATTTTGACTCGTCTGTGAGGAAACCAATAAATATCTTCGCGATAATATTTTTAGAAATAGCAGAACTATATGAATAAATTTCAATCGAGGCAAAATCATTATTTGCCGTTATCCTTCAACACATAAGAAAAAATATATATGTATAGTTGTCCTTGAATTGAATTTTTCGAAACGGTAACGACTTTTCCGGAAACGGTTATCACTCCGACGAGTTCTAAAATATAACTAACTTCAATTTGAAAATGGCAATAGCCACGACGAAAAAGAAAAAACTATTGTTAATGAGTATGTGTTGACTGTTTCCCTTTCAGATAGCTGCACTGATAGATAGAATGACTGACCACCAGATATGGGTAATGAAAGGATAATTGTGTTTACACGTGGGTGGTTAACCACAACTCACCCACACGCACACACATCAGTGCACAGTGTAAAGATGCCTTATAACTTGTAAAATGAGTGGATATTTTGTTACCGACGTGGTAAGGGAAAATCATGTGTTCAGGTCCCTTCCTCGCAATAGATAATATTGGAGGTTTCTCCCACATTTATAGGTCCGTAATTTTTACGTTCAATCCTTATAAACTTCAATAATTTTTTTTGGCGGTTTGCAGACAAATGTTCTAGTAATTGAGAGTGTCACAATGTCAAAAACAAACTTAGGAGCGGAACTTTCTTCATGACCTATACTTGGTTTTAATAAATTCTAAAAAATATGGCACTACGTTGGGCGCCAACATTAAGGTGAGAATACATAAAAGGTTTTTTTGAGAGGCTTAGGTCATCGGCTGGCTTCTTCGTAAAAGAACAAAGAAGTTTTAGATTGACTTTGTTCGATTTTGACCCTACGATCCTTTGTTATTTTACGAAGAAGCCAGCCAGTCAAAAAAGCGTTTTATGCGTTCTCTCCTTTAGAGAGAAAAAAAGAAAAATGACGAATTAAGGATCGCTGGAAGTTAATCCTTGAATAGGCTTGTAATGGAATTCTATTTAGATAAAATTATGTAGAAACAAAAATGCATGAAAACGATATCGAACGAAGGCTAAATCTCAAAAAACAAGTTAAAAAATATGAGACAGTTCTGCCGACAGATGTATACCATCTGCCAATGTTCTATTATTAAAATATATATCTACTTCTGTTATGATTATTCAAAAGTTTGATCCTCTATGGAGTAAGTTTAGAAGGAATGGGCAAATATGGTCAATTTCGTACCGGACCTAAATGAATATGATATAATATTGCGACGTCCCAGGTTTGGACAATATTGGTTAGTTCCTTATCTATATATGAGATATGTGATAATTTTTCGAAAATGAAAATGTTTAGATATCGCTGACTTGCTTCGTAAGTTATGACAGGTAAAAGTATTGAAAATTGTTACCCTTTGTGGCTGAGGTATCAGAAGGGGTTCGCATATATTTATCATCCTCACAACAGATTTTGTGTTAGCAAAAATGTTTGTATGTGTGAAACTGGTAGAGAGTTGCAAGTTTATTTCGCATTCTTTATGCGTTTTGTTTTTTTTTTTTAATATTGATCCCTATGTGGGAAGGTACCAGAAGAAATTGTCCGATCTCTACCATCTTCATAACAGATCTTGTGTTGATGGAAATATTGAGATGTGCCAAGTCTGAATAATATCGGATGTTAATTTCCCGTTTTATGAGCTTCATAGATACTTTTTGGGGGAGGTACCAGAAGAAATGGGCCGATATCCCATCTTCACAGTTGACCTTATGTTAGTAGAAATAAAGGTATCTGTGAAATATGAAGAGAACCGGATGTTTATTTTGGATTTTATAATCGGAATGGTTCGATCTCTACCATCTTTATAACATATCTTGTGCTGATAGAAATATTGAGATGTGCCGAGACTGAATGGAATTGGATGTTAATTTCGTGTTTTATGAACTTCATGGATATTATGGTACCATAACGAGTGGACCGATCCCATTAAACCTTGGATTTCTAAAAATATTGTGATGTGTGTAATTTGAAGACAATCGAACAATTATATCACATTTTATGAGAGTTATAATTATTTAAAATTATGACACTTTGGGGGGGAGGTACTAGATGGAGTGGACCGATAATGTCCATTTTCGCACCTGATGGAAGTAGTAGGATTTGCAAATTTGGAGCAACAACATCCTTTCTCTTTTGTGTAGTAAAATATTTTTATTGAAAACTTCGTCTTTTTGTGGGGTAGATACAGAAGGAGTGGACCGATATTGCCCATCTCCGAACTCGATCTAAGTTTGATGATAATATTACAATGTACTAAGTTTACACCAAATCGTATACTCCCTTCGAGAGATATCGTGCTCACCAGCCAGACAGATGGACGGACGAACATCGATAGATCGCCTCCAAATGTCCTGAAACGAATTTGGTCCAATGAGACCTAGGGTCTAAAATCGTTATTTAGATTAGGCACGTTTTGGCCGTATCAAATGATATATACCCTCTCTAGCTATATGACTGAGGGTATAAAAAATATACAACTGTTCACGAATACGAACTTATAGCCTTCTTCGATGTGAGGATCATATACTACACAATCAATGGTTATTTATGACATTTGTGAGAGAGTAACCAGATGGAGAAGCCTTTAATGCAGATTTTCTTACTTGATCTCAGCGAGATATAAGTATAAATTATTACGTTTTGCGTTTCTCAATATTTCATTTTGACAGTTACCGCGCGAGAAAAAACAAAACTGCAACAAAGTTAAACGCCACAGTTTTTGCACTTTTTTTAAATTTTATTGAATGAAAGCAAAGAATGTCGGAAATAGCGTCAAAATTTTAAAATAATTTTAGATTTGTTCGAATTGGTCACCTTTGGCACGAATTATAACCTTCAAATGGCCAATGAAACCGTCACACGCTGCCCGAATGGTGGTCTGCGATATTTTGGATAATTCCCGGCGAAGCGCTTGCTTGAGCTGATCGACAATTAGGTATTTTTAGTGTCAACTTTGCTTTCCCAAATTCTCCAGACACAATAGTCCAACGGATTGATATCCGGAGATTTTGGTGGGCATTGTGCGCTGGAAATGAAGCGAGGAACCTCATTTTGTAACCATTCTTGGGTGGCGCGTGCTTAGTGCGATGGTGCTGAGTCCTGTCCAGGGTCTGCGGTCAAAATGCTTGGGTGCCCAAGGCTTTAATACACCCTCCAGAATATTTTCGCGATAATATTCGGTATTTATAGCGGCCCACACCACCACCATAGCCGGCGCTTGAGTTCTGGTGGCCAACCGAAAGTGCATATTTTCAGATGACCTCTTTGGTGTTTTCTCATCGGAGAAAAGCAAATTCGGCTGTTCGGCAGTTGTGGTTTTCCAGTCAAATATAAAGAAATCAGAAAGAAAGCTTGAATTCCATCACAAATAACTTTTTTCTGAGCTGTCACTGGAATAATTTTAACATCTGTCGGACGAGTGGCTTAAAAATGACAGCAGTCTGAAGTTGGTTGCAGTTTTTTCATCTCACCCTGTAGTGGGAGACATACGTACTTATTTTTTCTTAACTAAAAATATTGTCTAATTTCTCCAAAAGTATGTTTTTTTGAAATACTGTAGCTATTCGATTGCCTTTCACAACTTTAATTGTATTTCTACGTTGTGTCACACATGCACTGGAGTTGGGGATAACAAAAAACAACAGTCGTCTTCATTCCTTGACCATTGAAATGTAATCATATTTTTTGTTGTTTCGGTCTAGCTATATTTCAGAGGCATGTTGGTAGGTTTGTAATTACAACAAATACGCTTCGCAGTTGAATGCATTTGATTTTATTAGTCGTGAAGGGTAAATTTGGAACGGCTGGGTGTGAGTGTGTGGACATCGTAACCTTGGTGACTATTGTCTAACCACTTATTGAAGTTTTACACCTCAGCACAAATTCACTTTTATCCAACCCACTCAATTGGTCCTATCTGGGGGTTGGAATTGAATGACAGACAACAAATGTGTTAGATTGTGTAAACAAATCGTATCTCAATTATAACTTGAATAATTAATTAAATGCTTATGGACACTCATACAGGCTTGCTTATTACAAGAGTTCCCAATAGTAATATTACAGGCAGTCAGTAGGCAAATCATATACCACAGTCCTAATGTAAGGATGATACACTTACTAAACAGTTATTCATGTGTGTAAGAATGTGCCGAGGTATAATTTTAATACAAAATATGAATCTATCAAAACGTAAGATCTTGAGACGATACAGATTCCAAACAAATTTGATTTGAACAAAAGTATTTATATATATCTCAGAAACAAATTGGAATTTTCTTTTGAACTCTGCAACAAATATAAAATTTATTTATTTAAAATAGCCTTTTTATTAGAACGTTCTGAAGGCAAATTTTATCAAATTTCTTCCCATACTTAAGTTGCGAGGATTTCACTTTCCATAACCAAAGTTTCACAGATAAGATATTTTGTCAGTTAAATGCAGACATGCTGCTAAAACGGGTTTTTAAAGATGAAAAAAAAATCGGCATTTTCATTATACTTTTCAACATTCACTCGAACCTTGTTCAAATCCCCGAAGACATTAGTATAATAGTACAATTCGTATAAGCTCTTTATTATGCTAATTTTAATGCAAACTAGTTTTCTAATTTTCTACAAAAAGGTGTTTAAATAATCTTCCAATAATAACGCCAACTAAAGTTCAGTTAAGAATTTCCATTGCGAAAATATGTGCACAACCTTCCTTAGCCTTTTAAAATCGTATTTTGTTAAATATTTTGGAAATATACACATGCACCTTGTTCTTTACTTTTTCTGGTAATAAATTATGATTAATTTGTTTTCTTGATTTTAAAATGTAAGGAATTGTGTTCTATTCTCACGACTCCTTCGGGTGGCATCTGAATGTCATATGTGAACTTGAAAATGCTTGGTATTTACTATTTTAAGAGTTTTAAGTTATTTTCTTATATCATAGGTTTCAAAACTTTGTTAATATTAATGTTGACTAGGATAGATTTAGCGTACCTAAACATAGCAAGGAGAGGGTATGGTTCGCGCACTGATGCAATATTCACTGTTTTAATGACGAATCATGCAGTGAAATTACTGCTGCGCGATTTCCCAATTGTTGCTGAGCACTATCAAAAAATGCGTTGGTGGTGTGTGCATCTCAAATGTAACAATGTGATATCATACGCAATGCAATATGTAATCCTTTTAAAGAACTCAACG